CCAACATTGGTCAACTTTGTCCTGGAGCAGCCATACCATGCACCTGTCCTGAATGGCACTGCCCAGGCCACATATTTGGACCATCTCCATCTCCCTGGCGCTTTACTTTCTGCCTGTACACCAACACATGTTCAAGCAGCTGAGAGAACTTAGCTGGATGTAATAGTACAGGGACTTGCCGTACTTTCTCTTGAATTCAGACCTAATTTTCAACATGTCCACTTCACTGCGGGAGACCATGATTCTGATCAGGACCTTATCTCGAGTCCCCTTGCCCTGAAAATCAAGTTCATATTCCAAGTTACATTCGCTGAGAATGTTATCATTAAAGAAACAGTCTACAGCCTGAGCATTCCTGATCTGAAAATGTGAAATCTAAAATGCTCCAAACTCCAAAATTTTTTCAGTGCCGACATGATGCCACAATGAAAAATTCCACATATAGACACTTAACACAAACTGTTTCATGCATAAAATTATCAAAAGCATTGTATAAAATTACCTTTAGGCTACGCATGTAAGGTCTATATAAAACATAAATGAATCTCAAGTTTAGACTTGGGTCCCATCCCTAAAATATTTCATTATATATATGCAAATATTCCAAAATCAAAAATAAATCTGAAATCCAAAACATTCCTGGCCAAGCATTTTGGATAAGGGATATTAGGGCACAGTGTACACTGCCTGGGTGATAAGTACACCAAAATCTCAAAAAGCACCACTAAAGAACTTATTCATGTAACTGAATACCACTTGTTCCCCAAAAACCTATGTAAGAAAGACAGAGAGAGAAAGAAAGAAAAAGAGAAAGAAGGAAGGAAGGAAGGAAGGAAGGGAGGGAGGGAGGGAGGGAGGGAGGGGAAGGCAGGGAGTAAGGGAGGGAGGGAGGAAGGAAGGAGAGGGAGGGGAAGGCAGGCAGGGAGGGAGGGAGGAAGGAAGGAGAGGGAGGGAGTGGGGGAAAGCAGGGAGGAAGGGAGGAAGGAAGGAGAGGGAGGGAGGAGAGGAGAGGAGAGGAGAGGAGAGGAGAAGGAAAGGCAGGGAGGAAGGGAGGAAGGAATGGAGGAAAAAAGAAAGAAAAAAAAGAAAAGAAAAGAAAGAAGAGCATCTGGGAATTCCAAACACACCAGGCTGTAGTCAGCACAGACTCCCACTCTATGCCATCATTCAATAAATATATACTGAGCACCTACTACTACAAGGCTTAGTTCAAGCAGTCTTGTCTCCATATGTAACAAGAGGTTCCTGACTCCTGCAGGCTTAGAGGGGACATGCCAACACATTTCTATCATCGCTCTATGCCATTCTGAATGATATGTGCAATAAAGACCACTGAGTTTACTTCCAGAGCATCAGACCAAAGGCACCAAGGGGTGCTATTTGATACGGAACTCAAAGACAGATGGCAGAGGCCGCGCAGACAAGGGAGATGTACCAGAAGGAAAATGCCAAAGCCTAGAAGCCAGAAAACACATGGCACATTTGAGGTGTAGAAAATGGGGTGGGTCTACGGGAAGAGGTGGTTTGTTTAGGGGAGATTTGTGGGGCTGTGTTTGGGGTCTGATAGACCCAGGTTCAAATCTTGCTGTGCAACTTCAAGCAGGCTAAGGTATTCTGAGCTCCGTCTCCGCATTTATAAAGAAGATAATCGTATCAGCCTCAGAGGTGGTTTTGCAATGATTTAAGGTCAGGTGGTAGCACATGTCTACTGTATAGTGGGTGCTTAATAATCACTCCCTTCCTCGCTTGTCTTGACTCTGGGGGTAGCAGGAAGAAATCACTGAGAAACCCGAGTAGGGATCAGACATGACTACCATGTTGCATTTTCTCTCTCCCATGGCGCTTTACTTTCTGCCTGTACACCAACACATGTTCAAGCAGCTGAGAGAGAGAAGACGGATTTGTGGTGCTCTCACCTGCCAAACACAACCACAGCTGACTAGTGTGTTCCTGCATCCAGACAGTGGGGTCCCCTTCCTCCATCCATGAGTCAAGGAGACTCAATCTGGGGCCCAAAAGAAGAAAAGCTGAGTGTGGAAACACAGCTCTCTCAGCCAGCTGCCCTTACCTTCATGGAGTCATACAGCCGGTCAGCAAAATACAGGGGTTTGTTCTGAATGCACTGGACTGTGGAGAGAAGAAAGGGAGTCAGGGCTGCAGCTGCTCTGGTCTCTCCTCTACCAGTGAGAGAGGATGCCCTGACCCTGGGCCACAAACCAGAAGGGACCTGATGCAATGGAAACCGGCTACAAAATGGAACAGCCTAAGGGAAATGTAGAAATCCTCTACAATACTAAGTTCCACCACAGTTTTAAACCAGGGGACTCTGAGACCTGCAGAACCCAAGTGCATATGTGAGTTTCCACAACATACCCCTCTCTTCTGTTTTCTTACTCCTCCCTGGCAACAATCTGTTACCAATTTAGGCCTTTCTTCAGTTTTATATTCTTAAATCTATACAATTAAGACTGTAAAACTATCCAAAGCATGCATAGAAGCCACACCTCCCAAACACACTTGGATTAAGAGGATGGCCATCTGTCACTTCTGCTCTGGTAGATGATGTCTACCAGGAATGGGGGCCACATTCACTTACCCAGGTTCAGGAAAGCATTTTCCAGGTCTCCTTTAACCTCTTTCCTGATGCTCTCCAACATGTCGTAAGGGCTGTAGCTCTTGTACCTATCAAATACTGAGGAAAAACAACAAAGAATTATCAGATCAGAGCCACTAGTCAAAGCTGTCAGTGATCACCCACCCAGTTTTATGCACCATGATTTTTTAAAGGATGATCATAGCATCCTAGGATCTTAGAGGTTGCCATGGTGACCAGAGCCAACATTGGTCAACTTTGTCCTGGAGCAGCCATACCATGCACCTGTCCTGAATGGCACTGCCCAGGCCACATATTTGGACCATCTCCATCTCCCCTGAGTGGAACTTATTCCATCCGAAAACCACGGGAAACAGTACAGAGCATGCAGCAAAGTCCACTACTTCAACAAATAATGGTGAGATAAAAGGATCATCAAACAAGAAGGAGCTGCAGAATAAAGCACCAAACGCAGAAACTATTTGCAAGAGCAAAGAATCCAGAATGGAAGAGAAAGGTGAATGTACTTGGTGAGGGAAAAATGGGTGAGCCTATGAGAGTGCCAAGTGGAGAGAGCACCTCATTCTGGCAGACTCCATCCCAACATGGACATCCACCCGGCCGCCCCAGCCAGAGCCCCAAGGCACTGAGAGCCCCTCAGCACAGTGCCCACCTTTCTGGAGGTGGGGCACGCTCCGCTCGGTCATGATGCTGATCCACTTGGGAACATCAGTTCCTTTCCTCTTCACTCCAGCGTCATAGAGATCCTATGAGTACAACCAACCAGGAAAAGTTAACTATACAATCCAGTGTCAGGTCATTAAAAATGTCATGCAAAAAAAAAAAAAAAAAAGCTATACATTCAAAATGCCAAATGAGGAAGAATGATTATACTGCAGACATGGGCAGAGACCTACTATTTAGGTCAAAAGTCTTAATCACAAGCAGTCTTCCTTAGGCACAGATGGATACCACATGAGACTGCAGATAGTTCGTGAGGTCTGTGCTGTGCAATCTCCTTCCGTGAATGAGAAAGGAGGGACCAAGAGCTTGTATTCATATAAAGAAGGTCAAGTAAATGTTCATGAACACATCTGGCCCTCCTCCCTTTGGGCACATTTAGGGGAAGATAAGCTAGCAGATGTTTACTGGACGGCTACTGTCCAGGCTCCCATTCTCAAGCTTTTCAGAGACTCAGGGAGTGATGGAGCTGGAAAAGGAGCCCATCTCGTCTGATTTTCAGTTTCTGGAAAATTTAGGGGCTACAAGTAGCCCTAACAATGGCAGGAAGGGCAAGAGGAAGAAAGACTTATGCAAGGGTAGATATTCATTCCGTGATCTTCCACCATCTGGGAATTGCAAAACCCAAGTCCTATTACTTTATTTAAAACCCTTCTCTACTACCTGCTAGAAGTGCTGTGTGGAATATAATGAACTGTAAAACTAATGTGAATTTAAATTAATTTTTTTCTGCAGCTTTTATGACTTACTTTGAGATAACTGTTGACCCTCTAAGTAAGGAATATAGTTCATAGCAGTCTGAATAAGCTTAACAAATAGTTCTCAGAGATTATGGAACTAGAACTGGCAAAAGTCTTACTCAGCCAGAAAAGGATAGGTCTCTGCTGGCCTCCCTTTCTCCCCACCAACAACGGAGCAGTAAGCCATCTTGTCCCTGGCTGTGTCTTCTCCACCTTCTTCTGCTTCCCACCTGCCTGCCTGATTGGTGTGCACAGCCACATTACACTCTGCAGAAACTGGCGCTTCCACGCAAACAAAGCCTGAATGAGCATATGTGAGTCACAATTGACTCCATAAGTAATGCCAGCATTATAAAAGAATATCTTCTAATAAACAATGCTCTCAGACTACGGTGGGTTTAAAATACGGCCAGAAATTCTTTGACATTCCTCCCTTCCAAAGGAGGAGCCTAATCCCCTCCCACTAAGTGTGGGCTAGACTCAGTGACTCACTTTTAATGAAAAGAGTATGACAGCGGTGCAAGGTGGGACTCCTGAGATTAGGTCATGAAAGATGCTGTGGCTTCCTCTTTGTGAACTGCTTGCTCTGGGGAAATCCGGCTGCCAAGTTGTGAGGACACTCAAACAACCCAGTGGAGAGGTTTCTGTGGAGCGATTCTAAGGTTTCCCACCAATGGTCATGTGAGTGCACCATCCTGGAAGCAGATTCCCTCGACCCAGTCAAGCCCTCAGGTGACTGCAGCCCTGCAGCATTTCGTCTGCAACCTCAGAAGAGACCCTGAGCCAAAACCACTGGGCTAAGCCACTCCTCGATTCCTGACACACAGAAACTGAGAAATAATACATGTTTGTTGTTTTAAGCCACAGAGTTTGGGAGTCATTTGTTACAGAGAGTTCAATTACTATACAGACTATCCAGAGACTTACCAGAAAACAAAAACGCAAACCAAAAGCTCAGTACTTACCCGGGCATCTTGGTCAATCAGTTCATAGTCAATGACAGAGCCATCCTCTGCTCTTCTACCCTATGGAAAAAAAAAAAAAAAGAACTTCAAATCCATTTGTTTTTGTATTCTAAAACTGAAAATGTTTTCTCCCCAGTCCATGTAAGCCATTACTTCATTTAATAAGTTAAGTATCCACCTAAGATTTTTCTTACTTTGAAACCTAGACAGGGCCGGGCGTGGTGGCTCACACCTGTAATCCCAGCATTTTGGGAGGCCAAGGCGGGTGGATTATGAGGTCAGGAGATCGAGACCATCTTGGCTAACACAGTGTAACCCCGTCTCTACTAAATTAGCCGGGCATGGTGGCACATGCCTGTAGTTCCAGCTACTCAGGAGGCTGAGGCAGGAGAAACGCTTGAACCAGGGAGGTGGGGGTTGCAGTGATCCAAGATCGTGCCACTGCACTCCAGCCCTGGTGACAGACTGAGACTCTGTCTCAAAAAATAAAAAAGAAAAAGAAACCTAGACCAACCAAGGACTGGTAAAATCCTTGAGTAAGGAAGTGGGGGCTGTGCCTTGCCATCGACAACCCCCTCCTTCGTACCCGGTCCTGGCCTACACACCTTATAGACATCCCTGTCCCCATCCCCCACAAAAAGCTGATGAGATTTAGTTCTTTCCCACAGAGAGCTAGCGATGCAGATGGAGGAATATGCAGACACAAATGTAAAGCGGCCCAGGAACCCACAGCACTAGGAAGACACAAAATGCAGAAGGAGGAAGAACTGTCAGAGAGCAGAGTCAGCAGAGGGTGAACAATGGGCCCGGGCTTAAGCTGAAACTTCAAGGGTCAATCAGAGGTAGCCAGCCAAGCGGAGAGGGAGAGCCAGCCGGTACACCAGGGATGGCACAGCACACTCCCAGGTAAGTAAGGAGCTCCCCTGTCAGAGCAGAGCTGAGCAGGAGAGAATCTGAGCAAACAAGATGCAGGGAGGGTTTAGAGGACCTTTCACAGCAGTTAGGAGTTTAAATCTGATGCAGCAGAAATGGGGTTTGAACAGGGGAGTAAAACAGTGAAAGTGTATTTCACAGAGATCCGTGGATGGCGGTACACGGGGCAGGTGGTAGCGAAGAGAGGAGAGCCAGGGAGAATGGCTTAGGAGCTGTTGTAGTAATGGAGATGTGAGTGGCCAGATGCACTATCTGTCATTTGTCATCAGGGTTCCCAGGGTCTCTCATCCCTCCCCTGGCACATAAGCATTAAGCTGCACACTGGCCAGAACTAGGGATTCACAGGGGAAGTGCCCCTTCCTCCATGTTAATGTGTTAATATTAGCGATCAGCTCCACAAAGACAACTCCACTCCAGACAAAGGACTATATGGGCAAATTCCTCCATGAGAAGTGAACGCAGGAAAAAGAAACCAGAAGGTCACTTCCCCCTGGGTCCTGCATGACCACAGATAGAGGCAAAGTGACCTTCCCTAAGCCACGCGGCCAAGGCTCTGGCACATAAATCCAGGCCAGGACTTGAGAGCTGCCCATCCCTCCTCTGGCTCCCAAAGTTCACTTGTCCATGAGGTTTTGCAGGATAAGAAATCCTATTATACAAAATTGACAACTCTGCAGTGACAGTGCAAACCCACTTTCGAAAATGCAGCTGAATTTCTGATGCAGGCACAGGGCACTTAGTTAATTCACTCCAAGTATAAAATGAGGTATGTGACATGACTTGGGAGAAAGCAAGGGCAAAGAAAGAAACCGGGAAACCAACCTTTGCCAGGGCAACCATCAGCTTGCGGAAGTCACCAGATGTGTCCGAAATAATGTCCTTCTCCAAATCAGTTTTGTACACTTGGAAGAAAATACATCTGGTTTTATGCTTTCTGCCTCTGTAGCCAACCACCCACCCCAATCTCCCCATTTCCCACTAAGACTCTGAAAAAAAGAACAGCTATGTCAGCTGGACATACCCATTCTCCTTAACCCCAAACAGAGGAAGGATTCACTAGAATGATTTTCACCCTCATGAAATCAGAGCCAGAGTTATTATCCATGACAGGGGGCAGCAGGGCTAGATCAAATCAGGGGTCCTCAACTTTGATCAGAGACCTCTTATATAGTTTAAATACTGGCTCCCAGCCCTCCTGACTGTGAACACTCGTTTTGAACATCAAAAAAATAGGAGGTCTACACACACACACGCACACACACAATTGTGCTTTACTGTCCACTGAGAAAATGCACAATGGCAAAAACTACTAAGAATTAAACAATGCTTTTGAATGAAATTATATTTCAATATTCAAAACAGCATCTATATTGAAATACAGTAGCTAGAGAAGAACTGTAATCTTCCTAATATTAAAAAAAGATAAATGTGTGAGGTGATGGATACCCCAATTATCCTGACTTGGTAATTCCATATTATATATATGTACCAAAATATCCCATGTACCCCCAAAATATGTACAATTATGATATATCAACTTTAAAAAGTAAAAGAAAAGAGAAATGCAGTAGCAATGTAAAGTTGCATTGTTTATTCCACTCATAGCCTTCTATATTGCTTAGTGTGCACAGGTCCACATGGGTCTCTTGCTGTAATTCTTCAATTATCCACAGTCCAGAGTTGGCAACCTCTTGAGCAGAGACTGAACAGCACCCAGCAAATGGAATCCATATATAATACTTGCTACTTCTCCTCATCAGATTTTTTAAAATAAATTTTGTTTTCTCTTCTTTCCCTCCTGTCTACCCTTCTTCTAACACAGAAGTTCTAGTGGAATGTAATAATCAAACTGCAGGCAATGAGGAGGTGAAGGAGAGCAACCTGGACCACAGCCAACCTCGCCTGCATGGTCAAGGTGGCAGGCGCTTCTGTACATCAATAATCCAGGCATCTTAGCCCAAACACTAACCCCAGTGGCCATGATACAGTCACATAAATTGGGCTGAGGATGAATCACAGAAATCAAGCTACTCACTTTCCTTGTAGACTCTGTTAATTTCCTGCAGCTCCTGGTTGGTTCTGGAGCAGATGATCTCAATGAGAGAGTCCTCGTCGGTTCCCAGCCCCTGTGAACCAGGAAAGACGAACATCAGCAGGGAAAGGCTTCCCCACCGTTAGCCTACTTCTCTGATCTCCATCAAGTAAATCGCAAACATGGGTTGGGTCTGTTAGCATCCTGCTTTCTACATTCCTACTGAAGAATCCATACTCTATCCTTTAGCACAAAGTAATGTTATTTTCTATTCCTTTAAAAAATGCTTCACCAGAGCACAAGATGGTAGAATTGGCATGTTTGAGTTCAACTGTTAATATGTTTTGTTTTTTAAAGTAGTGAATAGGGGCCAAGCGCCGTGGCTCACGCCTGTAATCCCAACACGTTGGGAGGCCGAGGCGGGTGGATCACAAGGTTGGGAGATCAAGACCATCCTGGCTAACATGGTGAAACCCCATCTCTACTAAAAATACAAAAAATTAGCCGGGCGTGGTGGCAGGTGACTATAGTCCCAGCTACTCTGGGAGGCTGAGGCAGGAGAATGGCATGAACCCGGGAGGTGGAGCCTGCAGTGAGCTGAGATTGCACCACTGCACTCTAGCAATAGAATATGCCAAATGTTAAAAGTGGTAATTGCCATTTGCTGTGGGTATATAAAGTAACTTTTTCTTACTATTATTTTTCACTTTCTACAATAACCACCCACTATTTTAACGGACGAGAATTTTCTTCGTTAAACAATTCTTCTTGCTAATTTAAAATAAAGGAATACAGAAAGTTTATGTTGTCACGTGCAGCCAGCATTGTTAGAGTAAGTCTTTTTATCAGGCAAAGGTATAGTTAAGAAAAATTTTTAGCTTCACCTCTTTGAAATGTAAAATTGGGTTAATGTTAAAAATTTCATTCTTGTCCTTCCATTTTTGCTTGATAATTATGCACTCTTCAGGCATTTTAGGGAAGCAAAAAGAAATAATGAAGTGCCAAATAAACCTAGACACCAACACTTTATTAAGGAGTAAGAATTTGATGGGTGATGTATTCAAATTTAATATATACACTTTTGAGCATGTCAGATAGCTTGAAAGGACTCTGAAACATGTATTTCAAAGCTGGCTTCATGATCAAAGTCAAGATTTAATAATCAGGATTCTTTAATACTTGTCTTTCTGAATATGGAAATACCACTTTGAACTAAGTAGAATTACAACTGTTTAAAATGTAAATCAATTATAAGGTGTTAATACAATAAGAAACTTACTTATCCACATGAAAAGTGTGTCAGCTATTAATTAAACTTATTAGAGGTCATATGTCCCTGAAAAAGTAGTTTGTATAATATAAGTTAAGCCTCAGGTTAATGGTTAATTTTGAATTTTATTCTTCATCTAATCTTTGAGCCAATGGCTCTTCTTTCTGAGTTTTTAATCATGATTTGTAGAGGTTCCAGCAAAGCCAAAAATTCTCCTCTTGTTAGCAAAAAGTCCATACAGCATTCTACACAAATGTTATTAAATGACTACTGAGCATCTTTGAATATTTTGAGGAGCAGTTGTTCAATCTCAAGGATGATAGAAATATCGTCTAAAAATAACACGCATTGGGAAAAATGTTATATCCTGACGTCGTAGAATTGCAAGACAGGCAGAATAATATAAGATGTGTTTCCTTCCATCACTGATATACCAGTGGTAATATCTGATAATTCCAATAGTGTTTTTATGTCTACATTCAAAGGTGACCTTGGCAATTTCCAAAGCCCGGCCCAAACTCTCCACAGACTGTCCACAATTCCTATCACAAGGGCAAATTCTACTGTAACATATGGCAGATACTGCCACCGGTACTGCCAGAAGTCAAAACAGATCTTTTTTTAAAGCATAGTTCAGTTAATGTCACTTCAAGCTTTATGGATTTTGGAAGGGTACTCAACTGTGATAGCTAATGGAAGAGCTGGCACAGGGTCAAAGCTTCAGCAGTTAAAGCACCTTCCATTGGGCCCAATTACATAGATTACAACAGTGACTGACAGCTCAAAAAGGTCTGTTTCAAGTCACTAATACCTAGTAATAGATACCAGTAAAGCCACACGAATCACAACTAAATAGATTCTTGACGAAAATAAGACAAACTGATCTGAAGTGTTGATGGCCAGAAGAAACCTAGGAGAGGCTGACTCATCCCTGCCTCCCAACGTCCACAGACTCGGTTTCAGGAGTGCTATTTTTATCAACCAGGATCATGAAATGTTGTTGACATTTTATCATTCTTAATGATGTCTTTTCTGCAGTACAGCCTACTTAGGAAACTCAGACAAGTCCGCTCAAATCAACTGAGCACAGCTTGGGCTAAGCTGAAGAACTGAAGGAAGAGAGAGACTTAACAACAAATCTTACAGCAGCCCTGAGCTATCAAGTTCGGGGCTCTGGAGATGCCCAGTGTCCAAAGCAGCTTCACTCTTGTGTTCTCTGGGGAAAGGATGACAACTGAACTGTGACATTAGCTCTGGTGACAGGCTTACAGCTCAGACTGTTCATAATTCAGGAACAGCGGCATCAGAGAAAACACACTCAGACTCAGAATAAAAAAATCAGACATATGGCTTCCCCCCTACAGCGCAGACTTTACCCATGTATATCAGCAGAGGGCAGTGTCGGACTGTTCAAATGCTGCAGACCCACACTAGGAAAAGGGTCCAAATGTGTTGCAGTAACATTTATGTGTGTACATCCATTGCATTTATATAAAACTTGATGTTGGCCAGGCACGGTGGCTCACGCCTGTAATCCCAGCACTTTGGGAGGCCAAGGTGGGCAGATCACCTCAGGTCGGGAGTTCGAGACCAGCCTGACCAACATGGAGAAATCCTGTCTCTACTAAAAATACAAAATTAGCCGGGAGTAGTTGCACATGCCAGTAATCCCAGCTACTCGGGATGCTGAGGCAAGAGAATCACTTGAACCCGGGAAGCAGAGGTTGCAGTGAGCGGAGATCGCGCCATTACACTCCAGCCTGGGCAACAACAGCGAAACTCCGTCTCAAAAAAACAAAACAAAACAAAAAACTTGATGTTTTAGGTATGCACAAAGTTCAGGAGGTTTCCAATCTAGAATTTTTACTTAATTTAACCAAAAATTCCAGGTTCAAAAGAACTTTACAAAAGAAAAACATAAAAGATAACGTGTGACTTCACAGAGGTACGATTCAGGTACGATTCATCATCTGAAATTACCCCTCATGTGCACTATGATGTTCTGATTCTGCCCGAATTTGAAACAAATGGTACTGACAGAATATGGGAGGAAGAAACACCCACGAAAGGATGGGCAGAATTTGCAAGCTTCACTTAACAAAAGATGAGGTTTTTTTTCTTGCCTTAATATCACAACATATCTTTTTAAAGAAGGAAGTGTAATCAAGGAAGTAGTTTGCCCAAATGGTATTCCAATTGCCCAGGTGCTGAGTAGTAGCAGCTGGTAACTGACTTCTCAGCATCATAAAATTTCTTTACAGTCTTAAAACAAGTAATTGAAATATTTTTGGTACAAATCCTGAGACGTATAACTTCAGTTCATTTTTTAAAAATGGTTCCAAATGAGAATTCAAGAAAACTGAAAATCACCAAATTACACTCAGAAAGCTGTAATTCACAAAATTAATAGCAGATTTGACAGAGATGACATCTCACACGCATTTACCTTCATGGAAGCTTTTAGCTCAGAAGCGTCATACTGAGCAGGTGTCTTCAATAGGCCCAAAATCACCGTCTCCAGGTGGCCAGATAAGGCTGACTTCAGTGCTGATGCAAGTTCCTTCAAGAAAACAGGCAATCATGAGGAAAATGTTTATTTTACTTTAAAACTGGTGAGTAAAACAAAAGTAAAAGGGATCTTTTTGTGAAGCAGGTTGTGAGTCTTTGACTACTCCAGAGTCTTGGGTCAAACGCCCTCAACTGCATTCCCTTCAACAGACCCACATCTCAGAAACATAAACATCGGGCTTTCCTTTAACGAAATTCCTTAAAATCCAAGTTAATTTTGCCTTCTTCCCCAGTCAATAAAAGGAAAACTGGAGTCGTATGTGATTCCTCAGAAAGCTGTGAGAGTGCAGGCACTTTGCAATATGCTTGAAAGTGGTAACACCCCGTGGAAGGCAGGACACTTTCCGAGATCAAGGTCCCTGCTAAGGAGGAGGTGTTCAAGCAGCCAACCTCCTGGGAAGCAGATCTTGTGGCCTGCTGATATACTGTAAAAGACATGGGGGCAGCCAGTCCAGCAGCAGCTCCTCAAAGTCTCCAGAAGGAACCAGAGGCCCCAGCACAGTTGGAAGTGAGGTCATGAAACTTTCCTATGCAAAACACTGTATCTAATACTGAGAAAATATCTCTTTGTCCACACCAAACTGGGACCGTGTTTAACGGAAGTGATAGGAAACCAACACCTCCGAATTGGCCCCCTTGAATTCGCAGCTGCATATAATTTCTTAAGGGTTCCACTGTCACCATGAACACAGAAATTTAAGTCAGAGGTCTGGTCAGCACCCATGTATGTAGACAGACACCCCAACTCAATGTGGCTTTTAGCGATGCTTCCTCAGGCTAAACTTCCTACAAATCATGGCTGATGACTGAAAGCTCCTACTGAAATAAAGTTCTTCTTTTCACTTTTTCCTTTCTCTTCTCTCTCTTCTTTCTTTCTCTCCTTGCTTTCTAAGAGCACCCGTGGCATCCACAAAACTTAGCCCCTAGAGGTACTTGCAGGATACGAGAGGTGATTTTCAGCCTGCTTCAGAGACAACCGTCTTGAATCATTCGTGATATCAAAAGTGTTAGAAGGATCTTAGAAGCCATCTGGCCCAAGCCTTTCGCCACCCATTTCTTCCTGCTTCCCAGTGTCCTGGGAACACACGGCACTTAGGAGAGGACTGTAAAAGCAATAGCTCCCAATTATAACACCAGTCTCCCAGTTTGGAACTTTGAGGTTAGGTAACTCCAAACTTAGCCTACCCTTGACACTCCCCTCTACCCATTCTCTCTGTTCAAACCTCAAATAGCATTTGGGCACCTACTGACTTCTTCTACTTCTATTCTAAACTCCTTATGGGCGTTCAACTTCCTGTTTCTCACAATGTCCAGCACAGAGCTTTGCATTTAACAAAAACTAAACAAAAACTCCAGAAATGTATGATAAACAAAACATAACCATTCCCTGTAAGGAGAAGCCTCGCATCTGGCGTCTGCTAGAACATGAAAGAATCGTAAAAGCAGCTGTCTCTCCCAGCTCCTCTCCGCTCTGCTAGCTGGGTCCAGGTTCTTCAAGCTCATCACCTGGGCAGCCACAGCCCATATCCCTAAAGAACTCTGCAACACAAATCTTCTTATTTCACAGACTTTCTTTATTTCACAAACAGCCGATTGCTTCACTTGAAACTATCTCAAGTAGTTTACATATCTTTTATAAAAGACATATAATTCTCCTTGGCCTAAGGCTGAGAGTCAAGAATTAGAAGGATGGTGAGCTGTCCCCAGCACACAGCAAAGCCTGTGAGATCTTGGGGACCTCATCGTAATTCTGGTAATATCTTCTCTCCAAGAGGGTACATGGGAGCTTTGTTCTCCATATATCTCATCTAAAACCAATATCTAGGTTTTGGGTGTGGTGGCTTATGACTGTAATCCCAGCAGTTTGGGAGGCAGAGGTGAATCATATGAGTCCACATGGCAGAAGTTGCAGTAATCTGAATCATACCACTGCAATCAAGCCTGGGTGACAGAGCAAGACCCTGTCTCAAAAAAAAAAAAAAAGATCCAGGCTTCTATGTTTGTGTGTACACACCCAAATGTATTCCAAGACCAGACTCTGTCAGTGACGGCTGAAAGATCAATTTTTGTGCATGCTGTCCAGAGATGAGCCTTCTGCTCCAATGGGAACTTGGCTCTAACCAGCTCACAAACCCTCTTGGGAAGCTGGAGAAATAAAGCACTCCCCTCTACGCCTCACTACAGAAGATTAATATACGTCTAGAGAAAGAAGAATTTTAATGCACATGAGATGAAAGAAGCCAAATGCTTTCCTATTTGTGTCCTTTCCAACTGTTTAGAGTGTGGGGAATGGAAGTGTAGCAAGGCTTGACCTGCAACTCCCAGGACCCTGCTGGTCATGTCAATCCCAAGGGCAGAAATGTCTCTTCTAGAATCCTTCCAGCTCACCTCCACTGTGGCTACGAGTGAAAGCCATAAGTCAGATGGGAGCTGCAGGAAGCCACACTGACTGCACTGTCCAAGAATAAATCAAAAGCTTTTAATAGCAAGAAGTTAAAAATAAAGCAGCACATCCTTAAAAATAAAATTTCCTAAAACTGACAAAATAAAGGACGAACACGCACTGGTTGTTTCTTAACCACTAGTGGACAAGCAAAGGGAAAAAGCACACAAAGACCCTTTAAATAGTAGGAGCATGGCATGTTGAAGATAGCTTTGCAGACCAAATGAACTGCCAACTAAGCCCACTCGTTGCAAAACGCTTAAGAATTCAAGTGTATATTGTTTAAATGAGAGGAGCTTGTTAGGATCAACACTCAGTGAAGGCTAGTGTCCTAAAATTAAATTAGAAACATCTTATCAAGAACCAGCAGAAGTCAGAAAGATGAAACGGAGTTGCTACATGTAGAAAACTGAGCACAGTGCCTGGCCCAAAGTAAGCACTCAATAAATGGTGCCTGTTGCTGTCGTTCCCTATTCCTAACTTTCTATTCCCAGAAGTTCTCCCTCCAGGTAGCCTGGGTTGGAGAAGGGTACTGTCCTTATACAGGAGCTCCCAAGCACTCTAAAGCAAGCATGACCACCTGCGCTCTGCCTCCTCTCAGATCAACGGTGGCATTAGATTCTCATACAAGTGCAAACCCTACTGTGAACTGCACATGCGAGGGATCTATGTTATACACTCCTTATGAGAATCTAATGCCTGATGACCTACAGTGGAACAGTTTCATCCCAACACCATCCCTCCCCATCCCATCCGTGGAAAAATTGTCTTCCACGAAACCGGTCCCTGGTGCCAAAAACGTTGGGGATAGCTGCTCTAAAGGCCACATGTGTTTGTGTGTCGTGCACACACACACACACACGTACAGTGACTCTTACAAGGATTTAAAAAGAAAATCTTAGATATCCAATGGTCCCAGAAGTCTTTGCTCATGACAGCCACAATTCATGAAAAGAAAAAGCAATGTCTGAGGAAACAAAAATTCAACAAGAAATGCCCTCCATCCTTGGAATTGCCTGTACCTTTTTGGTCCTTCTCTGGTAGGCGAAGGCAATATCCTGTCTCTGTGCATTGCTGCGGTTGGTCAAAATGTTGACAATGGTGACCTCATCCACACCTACGGAAATACGAGTTGTTAATCGTTACTCAACCATATACTCTAGTGTTTTGGGCTTACACAGAAGGTGTCAAGCAGAGTTATTCAAACTGAAGTTTCTATACTGTTTTTCAAACGGAAATACCAAGACACCAAGATTGTTCCAGCTCTTTTGTCAGCATCCTCTACCCAATGTGTACACTCTCTTTCCTTTTTTTCCTGAGAGCCTCAAACCTCAAGCTTAAATGGACCTTTTAAATATTTGTGGTTTAAAAACTACTTTATTCATAAATTGGTTTCTGGAATCAACAGTAGGAGGTGCATATGTGGGGCTCTGGCAGTCAGATGGAACAACAGAGATTTAGTAGGATTTTAAATGAAGGTCCCCAAATTGCCATTTAACTCAGGATTTAATAGAGAGTAACTGCAAACTGAATTAATAGAGATAATTATTTATATTTATTGCAGGATTATGGCTATATAAGCTGCTAGGTATAATTTCTATGATTATAAAAACTGTCATGACAAATGAGTCAGATTTAATATGGCAGTTGTATTTTCATAGCATAATTGATTAATGCAATCATACTTATTGAAGACAAAATTGTTTTGTAAGGAAAATAAACGTTACACTGCTTTTAATCTTCAATAGGCAATTTTAATAATCAATTTTATAACTTTATTAAAAAGAGTAAGTGTTTTAATCTAAATTAAATCTAAATTGGGAGTTTTGAAGTGCCACCAAAATATTTTAGTACCTATTTTAATTGGAACATGTGTATTTACAAAGATAAGCAATGCCTTCTGGTGTCTGAAAGTTTCCAATTTTATATCAGAAATACTCCTAACATGCCATTTAACTTAAGAAAGCAGAGTTTGTAAATTCAGAATGTGAAAAGTCTCTCTCCTGACTGATTATTAACTTTGTCTAATAAAAGAAAGAGTCTTTGCCATTACCGGATAAGTAATTCTTGGGTGAGAGAATAGAGTCGCTAAACCTATAAGGTCACTTGCAAACTACAAATGGCTTGGCCTGAAGAAAATCAGAGGAGGCCTGAAGAAACAGAAAGGTCAAAACTGTAATGCTTGAGACAAAAACAAACAGCAGATTGACAGAGGAAGTATTTTCAATTCCCAAGTGTGTCAGATCAAAAAGTATAAAGTTAGAATTTCTGGGTTTAAAAATAAATAACTTTTTAAAATGTATCTGCTCTTTTCAAAGCAAGTCCATATCAATATGCTGGCTATCTTAACTGTAGCATCTATAACTTTAGCTCTGATTTTTAGAGTAGCCAAGGTAAACATAGAAATCCAATTGCTGGATATGAGATTCAGCTTCAAAGATGCTTATTTCAGCACTGTACGTAATATTGAAAAGTAAAGTTAGGAAAAACACCTGTGTCCAATAAAAGGCTGATTAAATGTTCTTTTTTCCATATAATGGGATACTATGCAGTCATTTTAAATGATGGCATAGAAGTATTAAATAATGTTGGAAAATATCCACAATAGAGGTACTGTTAAAAAAAAAAAAAAAAAGGTTGCAAAGCAGTATGCTCAGTATACTCTCATTTTTGTCAAATGTGTATGCATGTATAAGAAAATATCTAGACATCTCTATATCAAAATTGTAATAGTTATCATCTGAGTGTTGGGATTATATATAATTTTAAATTTTCTTTCTTTTGATTATCTGTACTTTCAAAGTTCACCATAATGACCATAAATGGGTTTTTTTAAATACCCAGCGAGTGGCAGGCAGTCACTGCTCTAGAATCAACCAGTGACTTCACTTCAAGAGAGTCCCTGTATAGCTCTAAATACTTCAGTTAGAAGAAAACACAGTATGCATAATAATTAGGAATTACATCTATATAATTCTCTTCAGTTTCCAAACATCGTAAGACAAGTTATCTTATTTAATCCTCATAACAACCAAGTGGGGATAGTGACTTTTCTATTTCATAAGCGGAGGCTCTAAGGCTCAGAGTGACTGCAGCCCATCCCCGCATGTGTTATGTGTGTGAACATTTGTTCTCCCGGGGTCTCAGTTTCTATATTGGCACAAGTAAGGGGGCTTGAACAATGACCCCCAAATTCTGCTTCCAGAAAACACTAATGGATATAATTTTTAACTTATATTTTGTTTCAATTAGGAACAGGCAGAGGAGATTAATTCAAAGACTCTAAAATATCCACAAAGTGGACATAGGCCCGGGCTGCTGTGCATGCATGCCTACCCACACATGTGTTCGCTTGTTTGTTTGCTCTCTTGCTCTGTCTCTCAAAACTCTATGACTCTAGCTTTATATCAGGAAAACCACTTGCTTATTAATGTGTTTTGCTTTGTACTTAATTTTATTACCCACCAACTGAAAATGTCACAAAACACAATTCTATCCTCTAACCTCAGTTCTAATACTTTCAGAAGTCAACCTAGGGGCGGCTGGCCTGAATGCACACCAAGAACACTGACCCATGAAAAAGTATTCTCTCTTAAAAACAAATGCAAAGTCTGTGTTTGGGTCAGAATGTGGTTCCCGGCCTACCTGCATTAAAATCACATGAAGCATTTATTACAAACACAGTCCCTTGGGCCCTACCTGAGAACTAGTAAGTAAGCTCTCTAGAACTTGGGACCCAGGAAGCAGCACTTCAACAAGCTCCCCAGTAATTCCTCATTTGAGAATCACCAACAGAAAATGATAACCACGGGTGGGAAATGGAAACGTCTTGAGAAATCTACCTATCTAAAAGACTTCTGTGTTACTTCTACCAACTGCTTTTGTGAGGTACAGGGTCGACTACAATTTTAGGGAAAGAAGTGCTTACTTCTGTCCAAACAACCCAGGTAAGAAGTAATATCTAAAGAGTGCACTCCACAAGCTGTGATGCAGTATTGCACTCTTAGTCAACGAAACAGCTTTCTGCCTTTCTTTCCATAGCAGCTAAGTGTCCAGCCAGCAGAGATAGAATTTAATCCAATTACTGGAAATCCCCATAAAGAGCCAGGGTGGTTAACCTGAATCTTACCTAGGAGGCAGCAACAACCATAGTCTGAAGGAATCGAAATGTATTTTACCTAAATTATTTACCAAGCTAACAGCCAGCTGAGAGGCAGTATCTAACGTGCTGGGACTTTACAAGTGAACAGCCATAATGCATTGCACAAGTGCTAACGCCACTAACTACAAGGAAATGAAATGGAGGCTATTTCTGCAAGTAGAAGACTCCCGTTCCACCGCCCTGCCCAAGAACCTCACCTGCATCACCTATTTCTCCCATACCATTGTCTGCATGTTTCAAACTGAACTGGAAAGAGGAAAAAATCATGAAGCCAGGATCAACTGCCTAGTCAAAGCCACTTAAGTCATGTCCTATATTGCAATACCAAATACATGCATCTTCAAATGGGATTGAACCATCTTATCTCTAGAACACTGCTGCTTCCTCTTGCCCTGCTATTGTAATTGGTGAGGCCATTTATTCCTGTGAAAAATTATTCAGTACAGGTTGAGGCTGCAAAGGTCATCCGGTTACTCACCATTTCTACCCAGGATGCAACTGAAGGACTCAGACGGAACCTCGAATACTTATGTCAGCACAATCATCATCAACAATGCACAGCCAGTGCCAGGACACCAGAAAAGCTCTAAATTCAATATAGTGCCAGATGCCCGGGAGATGGGGCTCTGCCTTCCTTGATTTATACTCTCTGACCTGTCGTGTTCCAGTGCTTAAGGAAGTGTTTGCTGGGCGGAAGGGCCCAGGGTCTAAAGAAACTGTGTGGGTGGGGCGAGGGCATAAAGAAGAAACAGAAAACCTGAATAACACTTCCTTTTCCATCCTCTTCCTCCTGTGTCTGATATGAGTGATCACAAAGTCATCTAAGCAAAGGCTCTCCACAAGGAAGAGTGATGTGGATACGGTGATCCCACAGAATGTGGATGAAAACATGAATTCTGTAATTCAGGCAGATGTTTTACAATTTTTTTTTCAAAACTAATAGAAGTTACACTTTTCCAACATTGGTGAGGAACCAAGACACAAACGTATTTGGCTCCTGATGGGAAACAGCACAAGGAAGTCTTTAAGCATTTACTCCTTGAACAAAAATAGCCAGCTAATCTAATTAGCTAACTACAACAGTATTTTCAACACTTGGATCATGGGCACCCCAGAGGTCAGTCACTGTTCCAAATGCCAGTTAATCTGAAGCAACAGCTTTGCCAAGGGAATGCCATGGGGAGGCGCTGCTGACAGCAGGGTGCCAGGAGAAACCTGGGGGTCCTGGGTCCCATAAATCATTTACCGTATTTTCCAAGCATAGAGAACATTGGCAGTTTAAAATGATGGCTGCATTCAAAACCACAAAATCAGCCTCCTGGAGTTTCCTCCTCCTCTCGGCGGGTGGAAACCCCAAGTAAGCTCCAGCGCCTGGCATTCCATGGAAAATGTGTGTCTTTATTGTCCATGGCAAGGCACCAACAGCCGTTCTGAACAGGATGCTGACTCACATCTGCCGAGACACAATGAATGCACAAAGAAAATGGATTTCATTTGTGTTTGATGAAGGTCTCAGGAGGGTGGGGGCCGACTTGGAAAACAAAGGAAAACTGTCCAGATCCTCTCCTTACCTAGATTATGGGGAAGACCACGACTTAAGATTACTGAGCATACAAGTATCAAAGCTGAGAAAAAAATCATCTTTACAAAAAGAAGGTCAGAGGCATGCCACAAAGACAGGACAGCGCCACAGAGCTATGGGTGTGTACATGTGGACATAGTTCATTTATTACAATAATAGTAACCTTTTGCCTTATTATTATAATAATAGTAACCTTGTGGCTCACGCCTGTAATCCTAGCACTTTAGGAGGCCAAGGTGGGCGGATCACGAGGTCAGGAGTTTGAGATCAGCCTGACCAACATGGAGAAACCCCGTCTCTACTAAAAATACAAAATTAGCCAGGTGTGGTGGTGCACGCCTGTAATCCTAGCTACTCGGGAGGCTGAGGCAGG